CATGCTTCATTGCTGGGAGACATTACTGGGAGGTAGAGGTGGGTGATAAAGCCAAGTGGACCATAGGTGTCTGTGAAGACTCAGTATGCAGAAAAGGTGGAGTAACCTCAGCTCCCCAGAATGGATTCTGGGCGGTGTCTTTGTGGTATGGGAAAGAATACTGGGCTCTTACCTCCCCGATGACTGCCCTTCCCCTGCGGACCCCTCTTCAGCGGGTGGGGATTTTCTTGGACTATGATGCTGGCGAGGTCTCCTTCTACAATGTAACAGAGAGGTGTCACACGTTTACTTTCTCTCATGCTACCTTCTGTGGGCCTGTCCGGCCCTACTTCAGTCTGAGTTACTCGGGAGGGAAGAGCGCAGCTCCTCTAATCATCTGCCCTATGAGTGGGATCGATGGGTTTTCTGGCCATGTTGGGAATCATGGTCATTCCATGGAAACCTCCCCTTGAGGAGGCGAACACAGGCCAGAAGGGCTGTTGGCCATAATCCTACCCTAGGCATAAGGTATCTTGTTGCCTGACCATCACAGCTGGATATCCTTACCACTTTCCATGCCCCTGCAATTGGAGACAAAATGTCATGTTCTCTCATCCTTTCCCTTCCCACGAAAATTATGAGATGTAATGAGAAGCATCAGCTTGCTCAGAAATAAAAATCAGATGTCTACCTTTAATGTGTCACATTTTTTGGTTTAGTACATTGTTGGAGGGGATTAAGAATATGGATAACCTTTGGAATTGGAAAGCCGTTCAAGATACACCTTGGTTCAGCCTGGTTTCCTCTGGTTGAGTCCCACATAGTGATTGTATTTGTTGTCATTTCTGGATTAGAGCTCTTTTCTTAGAACCTAAAATGGAACTAGAAGGCCCTGTTGGCATGGGCCTTCCTCTGGAAATGGCTCCTCTATCCCTCCTGTAGTTATATGAATTCCATTAAAGAGGCCTATATGTGTTTTGATTGTTAACAGTTATTTTACAATAGTGGTGGGAAATGGCCCTACCTTTGTTATAAGATGATGTTCTAATTAATTTACCTTTATCTTTTCTGAGGCCTTTGCTCACTTCATTCTAATGAAGAGTGTATCCCAGTGCTGGATGCACATCCAGGATAATTTTCTGCCCAACACCATCCATTGTTTCTAGATTTCCTCCCAATCATATTTGTGGACTGACAGTCATACACCATTCCTGGAAGGATTCTTGGGCAGTATTTCAGGGATTCATTAACCTTTTGCCTCTTATTCTCTGTCTTCTTTTGGGAGATGGAGGAGTTGACCAATCTAGAATGTGTGTACCATCATAGGGGCAATTCCATCCCCATAGCAATTGTATCACAAGGCATTCTAGGGTCAGAAGGCCAAGACAGATCACTTTGAGCCAAGCCCCTAAGCATTTTTAGTTCTGATTCTCTGGTTACCTGCCCATCTGTTTGAAAATAGAGTGTGGATGCTGTTTACATTGTTTTTGTTTTTTGGGGCTTGGTAGGTTTGGGTGCATAGATATTGGAGGAAAGTTGGGAATGGTCAATGGTGTTGATTTCCCTTATGAGTCCAGAATCCTGGCCAATATTTTACTTCTAGCTGGATGATAAAACTTGCTCAATGCCATGTCGCTACTTTCCAATGGTTCTGAGAAAGTAGTGCGGGACGTCCATGGCCTATAGCTCTGTATTGGTTAATCCTGTAACTACAGTAAAAACGTATTCTTTCAAATCGTTTTGATAACCAATAGGGTATGCGGGAGGCAGTGGGGTAATGTAACAATGCTTGGCATATATCAAAGGGCCCAGAACTTGCTTCCCAAACCAGAACCATCAAACTGAGTCCTTGGAGTCATGGAGGTTGCCAGAGGCTGAGGAGGAAGAATCAGGCTGAGAGAATATCTCTATTCCTGGGGATTTGGATCTTTTCTGCTTTTGGATATGGCCTCATAAGACAAGATTCTGTGGTCTTTACTTAGTCCTATAACAGGCATTGGGGTTCCCTGGCTAAAGATCATGAGTTGGTGATGTGTTGTAATTCATTCATTCACTAGGTTTTAAGGGAAATAATATAATCAGGCACTATAGAGGGACTTCCATGAGGCTAGGTTAGCTTTGCTGAATGTTCTCAAATATAAAAAATACACGATACCATACATATATGTGTTGTGCCTCTGTGTGTGTGTGTACTGTATGTAAAATACTAACAGACATGTAGCAGTGCTTGGCACATAGTATGAAGTACTTTATGCACAATAACTTATTTAATGTCCATAATCCTACAAAGTGGGTACTGTTGCCCTTATTTTACAGCTGAGGAAATTGAAGTACATAGAGTGTAAGTGACTTATCCAAGATGCGCAGCTTAGGAAGCAGCAGAGCCAGAATTCAAATTGAGATGGAACACATGATTACATACATCATATCTTGCCCCGCTATATATATGGATTATGCTTTTCTGCATGGGAAGGCAGAGTGGAAACTGAGAGACTTGGAGTGCCAGTGTTATCTCTAGGGTGATGTGAAATCCGGCGTCACCCCAGCAGCATGGGGAGGGCGTCCTCGGTTCTTCCCCACTGATGCAGCAAAGAATTACAGGTTGGCAAGATTTAGAAAAAGTAAGATTTGTTGAAAGTACAGTTTCAAAAGGAGACGGGTTACACTAAG